CCCCAAAACCCCAAAACCCCAAAACCCCCAAAAGAAAGAATATGTGTGGTGATTGATAGGTTGGTCCTTCTTATGATATTTAAGAATTAAACTTAATTTTAATAACTAAGCTTGCTGGGATAAAGTAATCAAAGCATGCCTAGACACTCACCGCCATCCTTGCCTTAATAAGCAGCAGTTAGATCACAGTGATTATATCAACTTTACATTTGTAAATCATAAAAGGCCAAATCATGATCATAGAGGTATGCATAGTACTCCTCGTACTGATCATCATCGCAGTTGGTGATGTCCATTCATACTTTGACATTGTTTTGAGCTACTAAATCTTAATCTACATCTTATTAATACTGGGAGAATTATTTAGACAGTTGAGTAGACAGAGGGTTTTACCCGTCTGATCTAAGCTAGAGGGAGTTCAAATGTCTCGTTTACAAGTCATAGTACTCATCGAGGGTAATTCCATATTTCATCTGGAGTCTGTCCTCGATCTCAAAGCCTTGGATGACTATGTCCTGGATCTGGGAGTGATCACTGCTATCGTCAGTGTCGTCGTTGTCCGAACTGTCCCTAGTCTTGCGACCATCAACGCTATCCAAGTGGAATTCTTATGATTATCTATCACCATTGATGTTAGCATTCTTCTTAAACTCCTGTTAAGAATCGAAGTATATCTGTTCTCGCTTTATATCATCGATAAATCCTTGTATCTCTTCATACTTTTGTACACTCATTTCGACTTTACTACTGCCATTTGCTGGTCCGTTAGGCCCCATATTGCTGCTGAAGTTAAGAGCATACTTAAACCTTATCTGTTGTATCTTATCTTCGATTCTTTACTATATAGTCTTTATATTGCTAGTTCTCTTGGCACCATAATTGCTATATGCTCCTTGATTTTATTTGTTAGGACTAGCATTATTAATTAATTCTGATTAATTTATTTCTGTAGAATTCGATGAGGTCTGAGAATTCTGGAGTTGCTATGACTTTGAGTCTTAGTCAGCGTAGACCTGGCTCATCATATTTACAAATTGGTCTGTAGTTAGGTTGAGAGTCTGGCAGCTTACCTCAACCAACTGGTCTACTTTGTAGGCCTCCTCATCGAACATCGAGTAGATCAGATTTTTATATTAGAGACGCTGGTATTTCCATGTTTATTAATCAATCTTAGTAATAATTCCCTGTCTCTAAATGTAGCTCTTTTGGAATACGATTTCTTTGATTAGGGTCAGGTAGGCTCCGTAGAGTATAGTTATAAGTTCCTTGAATTGCATGGCCTTGTCCTTGCCGATCATTTTGAGTTCATTGACATAATTCTCAAGAATTTGATCTTCCACTGTCATCACAGGGAGTTCGAACAGGATTTCAGGAGGGGGAAGATCAAGGGTTTTATTCTTGAGTTGCACGGGTGAGTTCATTCTCTTCACTGGTTAGTAATCACCGCCACCGTTTGTGTAGTAATCATTGTCCTAGTCATGGTCTCCGCCTGCCGACTAGCGCTTCGGCTAGATGTTGCTGTACTGCTCTCCGCCATAGGACTAGGACTTCTGATTGTCTGATACACATGCGCACATTCCACCCATTTTAAATTATTCAATAAATTATCTATTTCTCTTTTTCTTCATATTTGATATGCTTGGGGTTTTGGGGTTTTGGGGTTTTGGGG